CTTTAGCTACAATTAACTATCCTTTAGCTACAATTAACTATCCTTTAGCTACAATTAACTATCCTTTAGCTACAATTAACTATCCTTTAGCTACGACGAACTATCCTTTAGCTACGACGAACTATCCTTTAGCTACGAACTATCCTTTAGCTACGATTAACTTTCCTTTAGCTACAACTAACTTTCCTTTAGCTACAATTAGCTATCCTTTAGCTACAATAAACTATCCTTTAGCTACGATTAGCTATCCTTTAGCTACAATTAGCTATCCTTTAGCTACAGTAAGCTATCCTATAATAGCCTTTTGGTACCTTTTTTTGGCACATTTAAATATTCTTTTGCTATAATGTAGCTAAAGTTTTGTTACTACTATCATTTGGACGTTTGGCTGGTCTTTAGATAGTTTTGGTTATTTTTCAGCTAGTCTTTCGGTTAACATCTATTTATACTTTTTCCCATTTTTTGTGAACAGTTTATGACTTTTAATTGAAATTTATTTTTATCAAAGTCATTCTCTGTTCTTGTAATTTTACTTTTACAAACCTCAGGCTTTTAGTGGCCCTTTAGCTCGTAGCTAAAGGTTTGCTTTTAGCTTTAACCCAGTTTAAGCTTCACTCAGCAGTCGAACAGTATTTTTGCAGAAAACGTGATTCTTTCAGCTGATTTGTGCAAATAAAGACTCATCAGGCGTGACTGAAGGTACAGTGTTTTTAATGAACGTCTATTGAAATGTCATGGCAAAACTGGAAAAAAAAAATTAAAAATGATTTAGCAGTCAAGGTTTCCTGTCAAGTTAAATCCTTCACACAAAATAAAACTGACCAATAAACTCAAAAACTATTAAATGGCAAAACAAACCTTTAAAATACAACCAATATTTTTTTATTTTTTTTCCCTCTTTCATAAAATTGAAAACGACACAATTAAAAGTTTATACTGATCAAAACATACAGAGTGAAGAACCACTGGAGACAACTCAAACAAGGTTAGTGTCTGATAGAAACATTCATTTTACAATAAAAATATCTGCACAAAAACTTTAAAAAAAAGAAAAAGCTCAAGGGAAAAAAGGTAACGCAAAAATATATAACGTTTGCTTTTCATCTTTAATTACAGTCACAAATCACACAGGTGTTGCAACAAATCTCTTTAAAATGTACAGAAATGAGATAAAAGGACCCCCCATTAATAATAATAATAATAATAATAATAATCCCACCCAGCCCCAGATTGATTGATTGTTGTTCAAAGCGTATACTGCAGGTACAACAAAGTCCCGACTAAACGAAAGCTGCACATCAAATCTTGGATATCAAGACTATCAAAAAAGGCACAGACAGACAGGTCGCACGAAGAAATCAGCTGAAGCTTTTTTTTCTTTTGTTTTTAATACAACTATTCCCAGAAAGATTTCCAGTGCCCTTAAAGTTGTGTTTTTAACTAAGCCCCTCCCCTCGCTCAAAAAGAACAGAAAAAAAAAAAAAAATCTACAGGCAAGTCAAGTCCTGGCAGGCACCTCAGATTACTAATCCCATCCAGATTACCGGAGACGCATCAAAGTAACCGTGAGACAGACGAGCGCCAGGATCCAAACCGAGGAGGAAGTTTAACGGCAGAAACAAAAACTTTGGTCAAAATTTCTGATTTTATTCTTTTAATCTTAAAAAAATGGAATATTCAAGGTACGTTTTAGTTATTTTCTTTGAGAAAATGTTTACATAAAAACATCTGTTAGGATGTTTTTCAATCCACTAAAGTTGATCATTTCATCCTTGTGTCCACACAAACACTGATTTACAAAACTCAAACTGTTTACAACTTCTGTAAAAACTATGACGTCATAATCCCACCTCTAATCTCACCTACAATCCCAAATTAAACTCCTTATTTTTGTACCAAACACCTGAAGGTAACATCTCATTGGCCAGCAACTCTTGACAAACTGTTGATGAAAAGAGTCCCCAAATTGTCTCAAAATGTTTGCAATGAAGTCTCAATTTCCTTTCACAAATCTCATACTCATGTCACTTGAATTTTGATCACATTCAAGATATTGACTAAAGTTTTCTCTCCAAGGAATATGCTTTTTTATGTCTCAAACCTGTCTCAATTTTGTTTTCAAGTCTCTAACCATTCTCAATTTAGTCCAAGTCTCAAACATGTGTCAATTTATACACAGTCTCAAACACAGCTCAGTGTCCAACCTGTTTGATAAGTCTCAAACCTGTCTCAATTTAGTCAGTCTCCAATGACCCATCTCAGTTTAGTCCTAGTCTCCAACCTGTCTCACTTTATGAACAAAGTCTCAAGCCTGTCTCAATTTACTCACAAAATCTCCAACCTCTCTCAATTTAGTCTCAAACCTGTCTCAGTTTATACACAAAGTCTCAAACACTTCTCAGTCTCCAACCTATCAGTTTATACACAGTCCCAAACGGGTCAATTTAGTCTCAAAGTCTCCAACCTGTCTCAATTTATACACAGTCTCAAACACTTCTCAGTCTCCAACCTATCAGTTTATACACAGTCAAACTGTAAAACCTGCCTCAATTTAGTCTCAAAGTCTCCAACCTGTCTCAATTTATACACAGTCTCAAACACTTCTCAAAGTTTATACAGTCTCAAACCTGTCTTAATTTAGTCTCAAAGTCTCAAACCTGTCTGCAACCTATTTCAATGTTGTCTCCAATCTGTCCAATTTAGAACTTAATACTTTCCTGCTGATTTTTCAGTCTGAAGCTGCCAACTGGACTCCAACAGACCTGAGTTAAAGCTTCAGATACCTGCTTCCTGTCTTACTTCCTGTTTCTCTTCCACGTGGACAGGGCCGTAATTTAATACTTTTGCATTTGATGCTCAAATCGTCCCTTATTTAGTTTTAAAATGTGGTAATAATAAAACATATACAAAGAAAAGATTCTGATGTTTGACCCACTGAAGACGAGAGCCACTCAGGTTCAGCTGAAATATTTTGCGGATGGGTTTTTCGTCTCGTGGCTGCAGTGATGTGTGGGCGTGTCCATGCACGGTGACATCACCACTGGGCGTGGTCAGAGGTGCGACAGCCTGACTGACAGATTATGGCTTAATATTTTTTTTTCCTTTAAGCTTTAGCGTCCTCTCTTTAACGAACGAGTCGACGGGATGGTTCACGTGGACGCAGCAGATACGCGTCGCGCTCAGAAACAGGAAAAAACAAAAAACAGACGAGGCTTCGAGACGGCCGCTCCTGATCGGCAGAACGTCTTCAGGAAAATCAGAACCTGGTCACCAAAACTCTTCTGAAAATAAAACGTAGACGGCAGCAGGGCTTCTCTGGAACGATGACGTTTAAAAACACGAAAACGGATTTAAAGAACGTTTGCAGAAACGGGCCTCAGCACTCGTCCAGGTCCAGGATCTGGGACATTTCACAACCCTGGTGCTTAGAAATACAGAAACTAATCCCTTTAGACAATAAAAAATCCTCCTTTATTACATCATCTGACTCTGAACACTGATTTTATTCAAACTTATGAACACAAACATGGTAAAAGAAAGAAAAAAACAACAAAGATCTTTGTTGCTTTTTAAGTTTTGTTGATTTAAAGTTATTTTAGAGACTTTTCTGTTCTTTAAATTTAGACAAAACTTTACTTTTTGTAAAACTTTTAGATTAAAACATAATTATCTGAACCTAAGTGTCGAAAGAGTTTGATGGGAGGATCTTCTCAGTCAGACTGTTGCAGTTTAATTATGCCGAACCAAAAAGCTCGATGTCAACAGAACCGAACGATTCGTCGAGCTCTGCTGATCGAAATCCCGAAAAGAAATCTCCAAATTCAAACATTTCAAATAAAAACTTTAAATTTAACAGTCGACTCAGCAGTCCTCTGCTGCGACCTCTCAGATCTAAATACTCAAACTGCGAAGAAAAAAAAAACTTTTATAACAACACCTTCTCTGGTTTTGTTACAAATCAAAAATTTATTCTCTTTTTTTTAAAAAAAATAGCATGCAGATTTAAAAATAAAAATAAAAATAGAGGGAGGATGCTAAAGCAAAAGAAGAGGACAAAAAGCACCGTCTGTGTTTAGAAATTAGAAAAAAAAACCACGACAGAGGAAAAGCAAACAGAGACCGTTTGAACGGGAAGAGCCTGGGCGCTGTGCCGGCGGATCTGCCCGGCTCGTGTGGCACTTTAACGTCGTCGTCTTTGTATACAGAGCTTATAACAGTCATGCAGAGGGCACAGTTTTATTCTAACAAGGCGAGAGAGACGCTGACCCACACCCAGAAACACACAAACAAACAACGGGAGGCACGACAACATCTTCTCCGATCCAAACGAGTTCTGCGACGCGTCTAAAGAAAAACCATCCTCCTGAAACACGCGAGAATTAAATCAACTTCTCCTCAGTTTTATTTTCTCTCATCCTAAGGCAGAAACTCTGATTCTGATGCCAATAATATGAAAGAAAACATTAAAACACCTTTAAGACTCTTCAGGTTTTATATTTTATATATTTATATATATATATTTATATATTTATATCTATAGCTAGATAAGATGCTTGCATTTGGGCTTTCTGAGTACGTTTGAGATTAAAATACAAGGTTTGATAAAATATACATCCTTAACACCACATGATGGCTTGAGGCCAGAAAGTTTGGCTCGTTCTGTCTTTGAATTGCATAAATCAGGAGATTTAATCTGGATTATTCCCTAACGAGGCGGAGGTCACTGCATCTCTTGTAACAGTGCGTCAAAGATTAGAAAATATGGATTTTTTTTTTGTTTTTTTAAATTGTGCAAAGCAGCTGCACCCAAAGAGACAACAGCGAGTTTATTCATTCAACCAGAGACGCACAAACACACACACACACAAAAAAACTTGTTATCTTGGCTTTAAAACACAAATTTTACCCCCAAACTATGAGCTGTGACGTGACTCCTCCCACCGCTGCTGCCCCACCCCCAACACGACAGGGAGACGGAGAGGAGAGACGGATCGCCGTTCCTGAGCAAAGTGGACTTGACGAGAGAGACCCAAGGAGTCCGGGAGACGCGGGACGACGGGAGAGGAGAGTTTAAAAAAACAAAAACAAAACAGAGACAAAAAAGAAAAAAAAAGAAAGAAAATCACAGCAACAGAGTGGAGGCGGGAGGAGCAGTGGTGACGCAGAAGCCTGTCCACAGAGTCATCTGAGGAGGAGAGACAGCCACATTTATACACTTCAAACTGAGGAAGTTTCAAAATAAGAGTTTTTAAAACACTTCCTGTCAAAAGCAGCTGCAGAGAAGAAACAGAATAAAAACCTGACGATTAAAATGTTTCACTTCTTTAAATCCTGATGAAAATGGAACAAAATGAACTGAAATATTTAAAAGTCTTTAAATTTGAAAGGAACAGCTGGAGTTTGATGTATTTTAGTGTATTGTGTTTTTATTCAACAGAACTTTGATTAAAGGTTTGATTTAAATAAAATATATATATATATCCTGATAACTGATTTACTGTTTCTAAAATATAAAAACACAAACGTCACTCAGACCTGAGACCAAGTCATTGTTCTACAAGTCCCAAATCTAGTTTTTTATAAACACCATAGTGTGTAACATTGTTGACATAATATGATGTTGTTGTTTTTTTTTTTTTTGGTCCTTGTGTGGTTTTTAGTTTTTCTGTTAAGGGTAACTCCTCTTAAAGATGATCCTTGCTCTGTGCAGGTCTATGGCTGCATGACCCCGAGCACCTGTTCTCCCATGTTTGTTATGTTCTGTCTTCTTCTGAACTGGAATTTCATTACGCTCTGTACAATGACAATAAAGGTCTATCTAATCTTATTTTAGACCAGCTAGTCTGAAGTCCCAAGTCAGGCCAAGTGTAGACCAACTAGTCCCAAGTCAGGCCAAGTGTAGACCAACTAGTCCCAAGTCAAGCCAAGTGTAGACCAACTAATCCCAAGTCAGGCCAAGTGTAGACCAAATAGTCCCAAGTCAAGCCAAGGGTAGACAAACTAGTCCTAAGTCAGGCCAAGTGTAGACCAACTAGTCCCAAGTCAGGCCAAGTGTAGACCAACTAGTCGCAAGTCAGGCCAAGTGTAGACCAACTAGTCGCAAGTCAGGCCAAGTGTAGACCAACTAGTCCCAAGTCAGGCCAAGTGTAGACCAACTAGTCCCAAGTCAAACCAAGTGTAGACCAACTAATCCCATGTCAGGCCAAGTGTAGACCAACTAGTCCCAAGTCAAACCAAGTGTAGCCCAACTAGTCCCATGTCAGGCCAAGTGTAGCCCAACTAGTCCCAAGTCAAGCCAAGTGTAGACCAACTAGTCCCAAGTCAAACCATTTTACTCGAGCGTTAAGTTCCAAGTTGAGACAAGCAAATCAAGTCCCAGGTCCAGAATGGACAGTACTGAGACAAATTCCAGAGACAAGTCCTGAAACAAGTCTCAAGTTGATCTGAGTCAAAGACACAGACCAAGCAAGTCTCAAGTCACATCAGATAAAGAAAGTCCTGAGTTGATTCCCAAGTCCTAAACTTAGGACAAACAAGTTAATGTAGTCACCTGTAGAATATTTAGATTCATCTTTACAGCAGGGGTCTCCAACATTTATCTCCTTAAGAGCTACTTTCACAAAATTAAATTGTCCGAGTGCTACTTTTTGCAACATTTAAATTTAAACTTGAACCATTGGAATAAGCTTGTTTTGCACAAAAAAACATCGTCTTCAGTTCACATGAAACTATCACAAAATACACTGAATTTACACAAATGTGCTTTTTGTGTTTATCCATTCATTTTAGTTATTTGTATTTCACACTAATAACTAATAAGGGTTTAACTGCAACAGATTTGTGCACAAATAACATCGCGTGACGGGTCTCCGATTTTTTTCCACATTGTACACTCCAGCAGGAAGAAACCCCCTGTAGTGACCGCAGTGGGAAAGGTTTCTCAGGAGTTTGGCACAGTGTGTCTCAAGGGGCTATGAAAGATGTGTGCGAAAATGAATGCCGAACAACCAGGTATTGCGTGTTGTCTGCCGATCGACAATTGCTTCGCCTAGTTTTTCACAAGGACTGAAGAGCTTCTTTAAATGAGCTCACACGCTACTGGTTGGAGACCCCTGCTTTAGAGGCAGATAAATAATGGTTTTAATGAACTCTAAAGTTTATTTTTATATTTCATCACTGGTTTCCTGAAGGAGTGGACTGAGGTGGATTCAGACCCTCTAGAGCTGCTGTTACAGGACCACCTTCTGAAGGCAGGACTGGGTTTACCTGTGAGGTCTTAGGGCCTGTAACCGGGCTGGAAACGTGCCGTTTCCTCAAAGATGAGCTCCTTCAGCGCCTCTTTGGGTAAATCATCCAACTCCATGTCGAACTTTAAGGGAATGTCAGCAACGGGCTTCAGGGTGACAGAGAGGACACGATGAGGGAAACGAGTCAAAAAGAAAAACAGGTGTGAGCGGTCCGAGGGTCTCACCTCGTCTGTCGGGTCATAATATTGTTCCAGGTAGGGGTGGGCCAGGGCCTCCTCCACCTCGATCCTCTTGTTGGGGTTAAAGGTCAACATCTTGTCCAGCAGGTCCAGAGCTGCAACGACCAGATGAACAAACAATGAGCCGGTCTGAACACTAGAGGGCGCCAAACACCTGAACAGCTCATTTACAGGAAACAAATTATTTTTATTTTACAAGAATAAATTATTCCAAACTACCAGACGTTATGAACGGTTTTCTGTGCACTTTTTCACTTTTTAACATTTGAGTTTATGTAAAACAAAGACAACCAAACACAGAGCTAAAACTAAAAAAGTGTGGGGGTCTAAAAGACTTCAACCTTTGGGGTCGGCGTTGGGGAACAGGCGGTTCCATGACACTTTGGGACGCATGGGCAGTGACAGCAGATAGTTCCTGGCCTTCAGGTTGATGATGCAGAGGAGGTCTTCCTGAGACGGGGAGCCCAGGATCCCTGGAACACAGCAGAACCGGACAGAGGTTCACGTTACGCAACCAGAGTTTCAGCAAACAGACGGGTGAAGCAACATGTGGTCCCAAGACTCTGAGAGAAGACTTGATAAGACCGGTGTTATCTGTGGACCCAGAGTCCTGATAAAAGACACGTTTGTCTCACTCCCTGGAATCCACGAAGACCTTAGTTTTCTACGGGTCCATGTTGGACATTCAAGGTAAGAACTTTACTTCCTGTTGAACAGAATCAAAGAGATGCAGGTGTTACCCAGGATGTGGTTCAGCTGGTCCAGGTAGTGTTTCCCAGGGAAGATGGGTCTGTTGGACAGCATCTCAGCCAGGATACACCCCACCGACCAGATGTCGATGGACTTCGTGTAGCCCTGAGACGAGGACAGACAAGAGGTTTTATTACGTCAAAACATGTCCTACTACCAACATACCCACTGTCCCTCTGCTGGACACGTCCAAATAAATACTGTCCCACTGCTGGACACGTCCAAATAAATACTGTCCCTCCGCTGGACACGTCCAAATAAATACTGTCCCTCTGCTGGACACGTCCAAATAAATACTGTCCCTCTGCTGGACACGTCCAAATAAATACTGTCCCTCTGCTGGACACGTCCAAATAAATAC